CATATGTTTAGCTGTGACTTACTGCTGTGGCATGTTTTTCATTAGTAAGAAGTAGAGTGAAATACAAGCCTCAAAAGTCAAAACGGTAATCACCTGATTACCGAGTTAAGGGCACACATCAGCGTTTACAGCAGTTTAAATTACACATAGCACATTTGTGACCTTTCCGAAAAAGACCCTAGTGCTGAGCCACAATCAGGTGTACACATAAGAGAACCATCAGCGACCTGAGCTGTTTGAAACCAGCCATTAGCCAAACATTCGTTTCGTCGATGATCAGTTGCGTTAGTTCCGCAGGCGAGGCGCTTGAGACGTCAAACGTCCTCATGTTCCTTTCTTTCCACCCAACAAGGAAAAGCAGGGAGTCGAAACCATGCTGGATGTTGTCATCTTGAAACATCCCTTAATTAAAAAGTGTTGGGGGGGCAATGTTTTTGCCCTGATAGAAACCATCAAATGCATAAAATTCTTTCAGCTAATTGCAGAACTCTCTGTTCTTCTCTAAACATTATGCCGGTGATTTTCTTGAAATCAGCATGGAGTGCATCCATTTTACCTTTTCTAGTCCTGACAAAGTAAAGCACAAGCACTGGTCTGCCATCATCCAAGCACAGATCAGATGTCTGCCATCATCCAAGCACACATCAGAGTTTATATATTTGATTTATTGTTCAGTTGTAGGTGAAAAGGGAGTTCCTTACTCTAATAATTAATAATAAGTTAACAGTAATCAGTTTTCCATGCAGCTTTATTTTACTCCTGCTTTAAATAAGTTAACGGAACTGTCACTAAGATATGGACATTTTGGTCCTCTTCCCATAGATAGTTTTTTTTACTGTTATTTCTGTTTGTTCTCTTGTTCCAGGTTTCTGTAATTCTTATATTTTGTCCTTCTGTAGGGTGAGAAGATGGTGCTTGTGGCATGTGGATGGCGCCATACAATTACTGTGTCTGACTCTGGTAATCTGTACACTTATGGTTGGAGCAAATATGGTCAACTAGGACATGGTGATTTTGAAGATCATTTAGTTCCACATAAACTAGAAGCTTTGAAAGATAGCACTATATCCCAGGTAATACCTTCTAGAAACATTCCGTGACATGGTTTCATGAAGGATTAATACAATCAAGAACTTCATTTTCACTTTACTGGGATTTAGAAAGACGATGGTTCCATACTTCCATGCACAGGTTGACATAGACACACCTTATACTGATGGTTTGAAAAATCTACTTTTTACATATTGGTATATATAGTCAAGTTTAAATGAAAAGTTGAGGAAACTCCCAAACAAATGGGAACATATCTTATGCTACTTAGCCGAGAGCCCCAGACAAAATGTCCCTGTCGGAATAAATTAGCATGTCCTCAAGTCTTTATTACTATTTGACTATTTGAGCTTTGGAATAGAAGGTTTACATACACAAGTTCTGCTGATTTAGATTTCAGGCGGTTGGAGACATACGATGGCACTTACATCAGAGGGAAAGCTTTACGGATGGGGATGGAACAAGGTCGTTATCATCTTTGTGCCTCTACTTGCTTTGCTACCCAATTATTGGTGTCTGATTCAAACTGCACATGCAAAATTCTATCATGTACTTTTTATCGATGGATAAAAAAGGCAAACATTGAGCAATGAATCTCTTGTGTGGATAAGAACACTTTTTTTGTGTGCACATGTAGCTTAGGCATGGTGAAACTCGGCATGATGATTGAGAAGTTCCTTTACACAACAGAAACAAGATGGACTTTTTCCTTGGTCACCTTGGGAAATTGAGTTCAGACAAAGACTGTTCTTGTTTCTATGAACATGATTGCTTACTTGCAAAATCACCATTCTTCTCCAGAAGAGGGACACATCTTGTCTATACATGTGCTTACTTTGGGCACAACTTAAAACTATGTACAATCTAGGCACATGGTGACTTTCATGCAGAGCTTTGCTTGCGTTCCATCTCTATTGTGTTCTATTTTCACTTGCCCATGTGGTTTTTTTTTACCATTTTTTACACCGAATGTTTCTCCTATTTTGAGCCTGCAGTTTGGACAAGTTGGAGTCGGCAACAATGATGATCACTGCTCCCCAGTACAAGTTCATTTTCCAGAGGATCAGGTATGGTGTGTTTGTGGAGGGCTAGCGCATAATACTGACTTTTTCCTCTAACAAACGATCCTTGTACTACATGAGCCAAAAAGTTATAGCCCCAAAAATGATGATCACAGTTTGTTAATTGATTCATTTAAATGATAATTGCCAACTTTGCTTATTACTGAGGTTACCGCAGAAAATTTCCCAAGTTGCATGCGGATGGAGGCATACACTTGCCCTTTCCGAGAAGAAAAATGTTTTCTCCTGGGGAAGGGGTACTAGCGGACAGCTCGGCAATGGTGAAATAGTTGACAGGTGGTTGTTATCTAGTGCACGAGCTCAATGTCTTCTCCCTTGTAAAACACTTGTTTATGCTAGTCTCTGCTATTTATACTCTTCTGATCTGACAACTTATCGACTTGTATCATCCTGAAGGAATACACCTGTGCTGATTGATGCCTTAAGCCCTGACGGTTCTGGCTGCAAGGAGTTGGTGTCATCAACGGCAGCCCCATTCGCAGGTCTGTTTCATTGAACTCTAGTAGCAGCAGGTGCTCTTGCAAGACAGGCAATTGACTGAAATGTCTCTATTTTTTGCAGCCAAAGTTTGGGTATCGCCATCAGAAAGATATGCCATAGTTCCTGACGAAAATGTGAGTTCAGTTCACCACACGTTTAATTTGAAGCAAATTGCTTAAACTGCAGCATTAGTTACACACAAGAAAAGATTTTTTTTACAGCACCCACATATCCATCTGGTTATTGTTGCTGAATTTTCTTGTGTTCATCTGCAGGTCCCTAAAGCAGGCGAAGGCACAGCACGAGGCAACGGCGCTGACGCGAATGTACCAGAGAACGACGTAAAGAGAATGCGCGTGCAGTCGTAGTTCTTCACTTCTTCTACCATCCACTCCACCGACCTCCCTTAACCCTACTAGTAGTACTATGAAGACCGGGTGCCCCATCAGTAGCACTGCCTCGCGTCGCAGCGATGTTGTGTGATGTGATTCACCTCTTAGAGGCCGCCCAGTCGACCTGCACTTGCTGTGCTGTTAAGATGTGTCCTGGATCTTTGACATTGCATGGAGGGCACAATAAGTGCTTCATTCTCATTTCTTCTCACTTGCATGATGGCCAACCAAAGCCATCAGCCTATTCGGCAGATGTTCTGTTTTTCTTGGCAAGAAAACTAAACTGAATTTTGGGTGTGAATATGATTGACTGATTGTAGAAAGGAACAAAACAGTACGGATGCGGCTACTGTTGACGAAGCAAGTCACGCCCTTGTAATTTGTGAATTCTGATCCCTGGACGTCCCTTTACCTCTCGGCATTATCGATTGGTCGATCAGATTGACCAAGCAAGTCACGGTGTCACTCACCTCCGAATTCTGTTCCTGGATGCCTGCCGCCTGCATTGGGTGCGGCAGAATTCAGAGAATATTGCGTGACCGCGTGACTCGGTTGCGCACGCTCTCGCATTTCGGCCTTGTAGGGATGGGCGGCCCGCCAGGCCCAACCCAAGGCCGCCGAGGCGGGGGCACACGGGGACGGCTGGCGGCCCAAGTGAGCGGACATGTAGCGCGAGGCCGCGAGCTGGCTAGCCTGGGCCAGTCGCACGACAGGAGTTCGGGGGCCCGGGGCCATATATATAGCCCGTAGTGGCACACTGGCGCGAGATCGGCACGTTTTGTCGGTCGTGGACGCATTCCGCTTGGCGCGCCTGGTTTGCATCAGCATCACCAGCCGACAGCCGTGTGCATCACCAGCACGCTCCTTCTGGCTTTCTTCTGGTAGGAAAGGAATTGTGGTACCACTAAGCCACTAACCACTTGATTCGAAGCCCGCACGCTCATTCGTCAAAAGGCAAGACCCTCTTCGCCGGCCGTCGTCCCTGCCGCTAGCCGCACCCACACCTGACCTGACCTGACACACACACCCCTCGCGGCCGGCGGTTCGCTCGGTCGTCGCTAGCTGCACCACACAAACACACGTGTGAGGCAAGCTAGGTAAGCGGAGGAATCCAGGTGCCGCGCGACGGCGACATGGACATGGACCAGCAGCGGGTGGGGCGCCCAGGCCGCATCACGCCACAGCGACGGCCGAAGCTGGCAGTGGCAGCCAAATGCGCCGCACGGCCCTCGCCGACTCCGACTCATGAGGCGTCAGCCATCAGGTGTCACACCCGCCCGGCCGTCGCCATCCTCCTCCCCGGCCCGGCCCGCGCGCGGCAGCTAGCCTCTCGCTCGCCACTCCATCGCGGTTAGCTCCTCTATCGGCGCCGCGCTCCCCTCATCAAATCACCAGGTCCACCACACCACCACCACGACACGCAGCCACCGATCGGCCCCGGTCCCGGACCAGCCGTGATACGGCCGATCGACCCCTCTGTTGCGATCGGTGGAAGACACCGTGTAGCCGATTCTTCTATTCTACCACTGCAGTCCAGGTCTAGTCACCGCGGCGACACGTACGGCCCCGGTGGATCCGGGTTACATATGCCGCGTGCATTTCGTGTTGCCGGCCGGAGGGACGGAGGACACAGGCGCCACCTACCTACTGGGCTACTGGGCAGCGGGGCAGGGGACACAGGCGCGGCACCAATCACAATCAGGCTTCGCCCAAGGGAGCGCGCGCATCATTAACAGCGGCAGCGACGTCATCTATATCTCTGGCTACCATACACATCAACATGGACTTCACCTTCCCTGCCACTTCGACGACAGCCGCAGCAATGACGACGCCCGATCCGCCGGCTGTCGTCGCAGGCCCACTCCCGGCGGCCGCGTGCCGCCCTCTCCTGTTCCCGCGGTTCGCGGCCGCCCCATCGTCGCCACCACCCTGCAGGTCCCCTCCCGCCGCCGTTGCGCCGCCGGTGACGAGGAGCCGAGCGCTCACACTGACCGCCATGGCCGCCGCAGTGCAACAAGGGCCGACAGGCGCGGGAGGAGAAGCTGCTGCGGCGGCGGCGGTTGCGGAGGTGGAGGACAGGATGGACCTGCTGTGGGAGGACTTCAACGAGGAGCTGGCGCGGGCCGGCGGGCTGCAGCAGGCGCGCGACCTGTGTTCGTCTGGCTCGTCGGACGCGGAGTCGTCGGAGCCCGCGGCGGCCCGCGGGTGCGCGCCGGTGCTGCGCCCCTCGTCCAGGGCCGCCGGCGCGGTCCGGCACTGCCGCCGCCGCGCCGGGACGTGGGTGCTGCTCATGCGGATCTTCAGGAGGCTCTTCGTCATCGAGAAGACCACCGTCTCCGCGGCCGCAGCCGCCAGGCGGCAGCACGCCGCTGCCACCACGAGGGCGAGCTGATACGATGCGACCATGCTTGCACAGCCAAGCCTTCCCACGCAGGCAATTTGCCTCCATGAATGGTGTGGTGAGCGTGAGCTCTGCAAGGAAGAACTATGCATGCATGCTTCCTATGCGAACGTACGGCCACTAGTAAATTATACTGCTGTGCTACTCCATTAGACATAGGGTTCAGTGGTTCATCATCAGCAGATACAGAGAAATTAGAGCAGTGCCATAGCAATGCCACTCCATTATCCCACTGTTAATTGGCACTTCAGTTTTAATCCTGTTTTATTTATGAATTCATCAAAAGTAGAAATGTAAAGTCAATGCATTTGTAAATTCTTCCTTTTGTGTCCTTTATTAGTCACGACTCACGGGGCGTTGTCGTGTGATTCATGGTATCATATCTGCGGATCTGAAGAAAGAAAGAAAGAAAGGTGCACGGCTTTCTCAGGACAAATTTTTTTGGTGTGGATTCGTGAGGATGAAAGGTGCTTGTGCTGTTTATACTTTGGAGGATGCGTGTTTTTATTTGGGCGGCTCACATAAGGACAAGGGCATTAGCTCGCAATAATGAACTGACTAAAGGCAAAAAAGAGACCACGGACAGGGACATCCAACCTCCTGCCTCTCAGCAGTAAGAACCCTTTTGTCCTTCCAAGGTAACTTCACAATGCAAAATGCCTAGGATCAGCAATTCAGCATAATGGCAGTGGGCACTATGACTGTTTGAGTACTTGCTGTACTTCTATTTTCAAGGCTGCGAAGTGGCACTGCGGTTAGAGAGTAGAGACTCACAAACTTCCTTTTTTTATTTTAAAGAAGAGACTCACAAACTTCATCACAGCAAAGAAACTGACACTTTTGTCTCATTGCTTGTACTATTTACTTGCATCCAAATTCAAAAACTGCACGGGCATAGGTAGGAAGGGACAATTCTTGCAAATTATGTTGGGATCCTACCATAATTAAGTCAATAACAAATTGGGGTCAACTAATAACAGCAGAATAGACACGAGATAGCCCACAAGGACCTAGAGCTCACACATAAACACAGCGTGGTGACAGCTGGGCCTACTTTCACCAACTATCTCAGGCGATGTGTGCACCAGATTAATACCATGCATTTTGTAGGCCAATAATAGAATGATGCAGCAATGATCAATTCTTTTTAGTAACGAAGAGAATCTCTCAAGATGATGGCAGACCGGGCCAATACAAAGTTACAACCCAATGCCTTCGTCGAAACATATTATCTGATCATGGCTGTCAACTGAAAGTAACATGACTAGACCAATATGCATTACAGAGGCACCAATGATGATACTTGAAATTCATACATATATAGTATATACAGCAATTTTTTTGACAATGGCATTGTATGGTTTCTGCCTATTAATAATGGCACCAGTAATGGATAGTTTGGGCGCAATTATGTTGATATCTTGTTAACAAAAGGGGAGTGCCTCACAATTTGCTTGATGCCACAAGATACTTGGTATGACGGGCCTGTGCCATCAATTTTCCTGTCTTTTTCTTCCTGAAATCGACAGAGACGACACCAACTGACTTTCCAGCACGCAACAACTTCCCCTCAACCTCTATTTCCTCCTGGACAATTAACCCAAAAAAGTTAACAGTATTGTCGAAAAACTTTGTAAGGAAACATAGCACTGTGGAGACAGAAAAAGTTGAAAATAAAACTATTTTGACAGTTCATCACCACCAAGGGCAGTGCAAAGAGAGGACTAACAAAGTAACAAGTTGGGGCTATGGGCAAACATGTCAAAAAGTGGTAGATATTTGAAACCTACATAGAGAGTGGCATTTTGAAGTGTTGCACGTCTAAAGTGGTGGATTTTTTAAGCTGCACTTGGCGATGGCAAATTGGCAATTTTCACTAGCCGAAGCTGGCTTGATTTTTGTTTAACTTCCAGTAGAACCAAAGGACCATTCAGTACAATGCGACATCTGATAGTATCAACTACCAAGATGGCTACTTTTTATACCTACCAGAAAATTTTCCAGATATAAAGTGATACAATCCTACACTGTTCAATAATGTTATCAAAAACATTGCTCATTTATGTAACCATCTTTTCTGCTTACACACGCAACACATCCATACTTTAGGTAAGAACATAACCATTAATGCAAGTCGCCAAAAGGTAAGAAGCAAAGAAGTAAAATAACCATTTCATCTTGGCAATAGAGCTGTTGTCATGCAATGTTTACTTACTGATGTTAAGTCATAAAAATGTAAGCATTCAACCTTTCTAGAGGACCACGAAGCAACACTAAAGCTTCTAGAAGAATCTGAAAAGATGGGTATTTATCTATTCTAAATAAACAATGTTAGACCTAATGATACTGGCCTGGCAACAGGCACATCTGTTAGGAGTGAGCATAAAAAACAATAAAAAGTATGAAACTATCAGCATTGAATCATTTATTTGGCAGCGATTAGGAAAAATATCTTATTCACGCTGAAGATGGATTTCTAGTATAAGAAAGATGGATAACTGAATTAGGATTTAAATAACCTGTTGGAAAATTAAACTAAAGACAGTTTCATGGGTTCTGAAATTATATTATCATGAATACATCAAATTGTCTAGAACAGACAGATAAGAACATATAATGAACTCTTTGCAACATCCTAATAAAATCAAAGAACTTTGACTATTGAAGTTGTACCATCACTAATTACCACAAAATGCACCCTCTAGCCTCTACTAGAGACAGATATACTAATAAATTATTTCAGAATGCTAGAAAATAATTAAAACACAAATCCAACAACTTCCATCAAGTTGGAAGCAATTTCAGCATCCAATCCCAGCTCATCCCTACAGTCCTACTCCTTATCTGCCAACTTCACAATACAGCACATTGACTAGTATCCAGTATATAGCAGAGAAGATTTTTTTTAGAAGGGACAGCAAAAGCTTTGCCGCAATTTTTATTAGACGGAGAAAATAAAAATACAAGGGTCAGCCCAGTTTTTTGAGTGGAAACCGGGCCCAAAAACCACCAACTGGGAGAGTCCACCACTCATCCTGACCAACTTTTGAAAACACCGTCCAAACAACTAACGACTATAGCAGAGAAGATCACTGAGGTATTATAGCCATAACAACTATGAGTGTGCCATTGAGATCCAAGCCCACAGCTTAGTGACAGTTTCTGACAGCCAGAAATCCATGCACAACAGCAAGCAGTAGAATTATACCAATCATGGCGATTACAATTTCTAGGAGACAAACCACAACATGCTAATCTGACATTCTCCTTAAACATGCTAGAACCACGACACAGCCTAATTGTCAATAGAAAGTACAAACCTTCAAATTATCAGAGAGCAATTACTGAAAGTGAATACCATTTCTTCAGGACAAAAGGATTGCCCAATGGACTAGCTCTAGCACTAGCAGGCTAGCAGCATAAGTGCAAAATCGATCCAGTTCCATCATAAATCCCGATCCCCATGAGCTATTTTTTTTAATACCATAATCGAACACAACAGGAAATGTGAACCTAGAGAGGGTGGGTCTCAGTCTCACCCCGACTGCAGCCGCGTCGACAAAGGAGACGCTGATCTCGATGGAGACCCCGCTGCTGGGGAGCCCGCTGCAGAAGAACACGGCCGATCCCAGCTGGTCGGCGAGCGTCGCTGTGACACCGCTGCGGAGGTACCCCACAGGACTCTGCAAGGGCACGACACATCGAACCAAGCAATCAAGCAGCATATGTCTCGTCAGTCACTCCGACTCCGTCGGACACACCATCTCAAACCGAAGTCGGAAGCGAAGGGAGTGCGAGGCTTACCGCAAGGCGAGGTGTCACGACGAAGGAGCAGAGGAGGCGGCCGTGCTCGGCGGCTTCGATGCTGACGCCGCTGAGGACGAAGGGGTCGTAGAAGTGGAGCCGCGCAGGAGTGGAGCCGGTGATTTTCTCGGCGGTTGCGGTGGGCTCCAGGCTTTTCCGCACCGCTTCCGGGTCCATGGTGGTGGCGCGCCGGGCGGCGAGGAGGGGAGGCCGCGCCACCTGATTCCGACGAGGTGTCGTGTCGGCAACGCACGCAGCTCCGAAGACGAAAGGAGGCCGCTGCAGCCTGCAGAGCGGGGTGGTGGGGATTGCTAGGGTCATAGGCTGACAGGTGGGGCTACGGACGGAAAGCTAGTAATGGGCAAGGCAAGGAGAGTGACTGTGATAGGAATGGTTCTCTTTGATTGGATTCCTCTCTATGTATAAAACAATAAAATAAAACATACTGCCTCCATAAAAAAGTATATAATTCTGGATTTAGATTGAGTTAAACTTCCTTAAATTTAATTTAACTAAATTTATATAAAAAATATTATCAACATTTATGATTCCAAATAAATTATACTATAAAGATATATATTCTATGATTAATCTAACACTTTATCCATTCCAAATTGTAAAGACGATTTGGCTTTTTTAGATATATATTTTTATTATACACTTAGATATACGCTATAGCCACATATGTAGTAAAAACGATGTATCTATAAAAGCTAAAACGTCTTACAATTTGAAATAGAGGGAGTAACACTAAATGCTATTTTTTCATAAATTGGGTTTAATTTTAAACTGTTTGTTTCGTAAATAAAATAAGAATTGCATTCTTTTTATGATGGACAAAGTATTCAAAGCTAACAATAGTATATCAACATGACCTCCTGTATACCATTTTAACTAGCAATATCTATAAAATATAGGAATATTTGTATTATTTATTTATGAAAGTATTTTTTATAATAGATATAATATGTCAACCTTGTTTTATGAACCTAATAACCTATATAAATTTTATATCTTAATAGTCAAAGGTATAAATTAAAGTCGACTTATAAAAACCTAGAAGCACTAAAAAGGACTATTTTGCATGAACTGAGCAGAAACAACGAAAAGGTTGAGTGCTGGCTGGATTACAATGGCCTTATTCAAATAAGCAACGGCTTACGCCAGCAAGTTCCAACCAAATAAAACTAGCAACCTCAGTGCATTTAGTGTAGTAATGATTTATGACAAATGGTTCCCAACTTATAACTGGCTATTTTCTCTGAATCTCTGTATGTGCCTCACTCTCTCACTGCATAGCTACATATGACACCACCTTGATCAGAGTTCGTCTTTCGGAAGCTCTAACGGCGATGAAGGTGTAATGCCATCTTCCACAGCACCAGCACCCGTCTGCGTCACTTCGTCCACGGCACCAGCTCTGGGCCCCTTGTTCTTCGTGATGAAACTGATGATGTCCTCGGCCGTTCTTCTGCCATTGTAGTTATAAAGGTCACCGGTTGTCGAGTAGAAGTAGATCGTGGGATATCCCTCCACCGCCAAGTCGGTAGGGATATCGTTTGCAGTGCCATCCTGAGAAAACCAAAAGGGATTAATGATAAGTAATGCCTGGTATGAGCAAGATCATACCATACCACAAAAAGGAAACAAAGAAAAATACAATTGAGCATCAGTCGCAAAATGGCTCACCATCTTTGCAATGATGACTTCTTCGTCGTCTTGTAATGCTACTGCAACTTCCTCCAAGATTGGGGCTAGCTTCCGGCAATGGCCACACCAAGGTGCATAGAACTCGAGCAGTACTGTGAAGAAAGGATCATGTCAAGCATGATGTAGTAAAACAAGTTGAATGCTAAACGTAACTGAAATCTGAATGTAACCACTAATACAATCATATTGAGCTAAGGGGCACATATTACTCAGACAACCGATGGAAGTGAGAAAAACTAACCATTTTTGCCAGAGTTGAAAACAATGTCATCGATACTGTCAGCCACAACGACCTTAACAGGTTGGTCATTCACCTTTGGGATTGGCTCTGACTTAACATAAGGTGTCAAGTTTCCATACTGCATGAACCAACACAAGACAGAACAAGATTGAGCAGGAAATTATTTGCTAATAAAGCACTGTGAAACAGCTCAGTAACTAAGAAACATAATAAAGTAGAAAAGGCCTCAACTATATACTCCTTCAACCAGGGGATGACTTGATCAGGGTCGATAGTTGGATTGAGATATTTCCCACCCTGTGCAATCACAAAAAGGAGGGGCACATCGTTCTCTTTAAGCCCAAAGTACTGAAACCATTTGCATGAGAGCTTGTTAGGCATCTAACCGTAGAAATTTTTGACAAACAAATACTCAGAGAAACTACAAATAGCAACCTGGAAGGCACGGTCAGCAGATTCAACATCACCAAATGTTATTAGCACTGAATTTCTTGGCAGCTTCTTGAATCTGACTCTTGAAGGCCTCAATTCTGTCGTCGCTGAAGTTCAAGAAAAGCATCGCCTGTCCAACCATATTTGTTTTCAGTGCATATGAAAAGTAGGTCGATGCATTCATGCAAGCAGAAATGTCAGTTCAATGTGGATAGCATAACCTATTACCTATACTTATGCAGAGATAAATGAATTACCAAAACTTAGCTCTTCCACCCAACATACAACTCATATATTCAAATTCTTAAGTAGCAAACAGAACATAATCACAATTGTGTTACTCACTTTGGCACTAGGAGTGCTGTAGTATCTCTCAAGAAACTTATGGTTGGTTGGATCAGCATCGAAGGTAACTACTGAAGGGAAACCAGACACCTCAATGAATTTTTCAAGAGCATCCGTATCAAAATCCTGAAAAAGATCAAGAATGGTGTTTTAGTGCTAGTGTGTTCAGTGATGAATTAGCATCGAATGTATACATGAAAAGGAATGTACCAGTGAATCAGCAAAGAGCTCGTCGAATGGTTTGAAGAGACGAACAACAGGGCCCTTGATGGCCTGATCACCACGTGGCAGAATACTTGCGTCTGACGTGTGAAAGAAATCAGTCTGACCGTTTTTTCTCTGCCACGGTCATGAAATTCTCATACTCCACACCGGCAAACTCAGGGAAAACTCCAACCTGCAACAAAATGTTTCACACGCATCCATCACATTCGCATCCATCACTCTCCCATGGCATTCAGGAAACAGGAAACTTTTTTTTTTAAAAGAACAGGAGGCATCATTCTTAACAGTAGTAGAAACCTACAAGAACCACCCCCTTGTCACCGATGGACGACTGAGCAGCCTCCGCCGAACTGAGCTCGATGGAAGCTGGGCCGACCTGCTTCTTGAGGTACTCCACGATGCCGTCGGCGTCCCTCGGACCACCATAGCCACGCACGTCCTTCCCTCCATTCTCTATGATCTTGATGGTGGGGTACGCATGCACCTGGTACTTGTCCTTGATCTCCTTGTTCCTCTCGTCGTAAGCGTCCACTTTGGCGAGCACCAATGGCGGGTCGTGATTCCTCAGAATGGCGGCTGCCTTCTCGTACTGCATGCATGGTATCACGGACATGGCACAAAGCAAATTAAAACACACATGTCCCTGCGTTGCATCCTCCGGGGCAACCAGGCAAGACCGGCAGTCTGGCACAGTGGCGCGTATGAAGGGAGCAGCGAGTTGTTACCTCTGGAGCGAGTTGCTTGCAGTGGCCACACCTGTGGATAAGTTACCATTAGCCAGGAGTTGACAGAGCACGGCTGCTTAGGGAATGGAGTCACTGAGCCATACGTACCATGGCGCGTAAAACTCGACGACGATGAACTGGTGCTTGGCCACCACCTCCGAGAAGTTACCGGCGTCCAGCGTTAGGACCACCTCGCCCAGCTCCTCGGCGGGATCAGCCAATGCAGGTCCAGAGAGGAGGAGAACGCCAGCGAGGAGGATGGTGAACGGAAGCACCAGGGAGACAGCCATGAGGATGGTGAACGGAAGCACCAGGGAGACAGCCATTGCTTAAGCTGCAACTAAAAGTGCCCTGCTCAGGGTAGAACCCGAGTTGATATATGCGAGGGTATTGCATTGCATTTGCAGGGATCTCGAGGGAAGTCAATGGGAGCTTTGTTTGCTAGCTTCTCTTTGACTCCATGTTTCAGAACTTTGCCTTCAAAAGACATTAGTGAGCCTCGTTCATCTTCTTTTTTATTCTTCAGCAAATGATAGCCTGTAGCTTGTAAGTGCTATCAAATATTGATAGTACAGCACCTTTTGTGTGCAAGTGGCATATCAAATTAGAGTAATGCGCTAGAAGCACACCACAATTTTTGTAAGTTTTCCAAGTACAAGGTACTTGGCGTTCTTGCCATCCCTGGGAGACTAAAAGCGATTTACAGGAAAATACACAACACAACATTAATCTAAGAGTAACTTCTATCACTAATGCTCACCATCTGGCAATGCCGGCAGTAACAGCTCCAGCTTCTTATTCCCACCAGGCACCAGGGGTGGGTGGTGGGCTTCATCCTGAATTCCAGAGAGGATTCCAGACTCAGAGCGGCTCTGTCTACTAAACACTCTGTTCTTCCTTTCTTTCCAAATTTCCCAGATTGTGAGGATGATCAGGGACCTGAGACCCAGCACCAGAGAAGGCTGACCTTGTTTGTTAACTGAACTAGTGATAAGTGCACGCCCCTGCGCGCGGGTTGGCACCACAGAACTTTTCCAAAAAATGTAGTTTGATTATTAGATACCTAAAGATAGAGAAGAGGAAACACGATAGATACAGTGCATCAGTTTAACGTCAAACACGAAGAGGATGAAGTCATTTACGCATCTAGCAAGGGGGTAGCCAAATTAGGATAACCACCACAAAGGTCGATTGTAACAGACCAATAATTGAGAAGGTTAGCTGTGCTGTCTAAAGCTGCATTGTGCTAAGAACATGGGTTCTAACATAGCTCACAGAAAGGCATAGTCATGAAAAGTCTGTAGATTAGAACAGTAGAACATATTATATTACACATGCATAGTCTCATTAGCTATCACATCAAGAAACGATCATGCGTCTCTTGGACAGGACACTTTTTGAGTGGTGGTGCTCCTCGGTTGGTACTATGGATGCATAGGCCAGCATAGCATCATCAGATTCACAGCATCAAGTTTGTCAAAAGGCTGCTGAGGTCAACATAGTAGATGTTATTTTTGGATATACCACAGTCCAGTTATAATATAGCAATCAGGGGGAAAAGTAAGTCTTGTTATCTCACGTACAATGATATATGCATGTGTTGTGACAACAATAAAGATCGTAGCATTGGGACTGATATAAATATTTCTAGCACTTTGCTACGGAGTGGAATTTACCTGGTAGCTGAGAGGGAGGGCCCCAACTTGTAACTTCGTCGTCAGAGTCTGAAGGCTGGTTGGTGAAGCCGCCGCCATAGCATTTTGGCAAGTCGAATCCTTGCTCGACTGTGTATTAGAGAGAACGGTGTTTGTGAGACGTTAGACAATGACTTGATGCTATAACCTAGTAGTGTATAACGTAAGGATGGTGAATCTGTAGCAGCCAAAGAAATGCGTAGAAAATAAAACTATCTAACAGAGGGACAGAAAATAAAATAAAGCTAATCCATGAGCCAATATGATGTGAAAAATATGAAAAGCTGTTACCAGGTCAATCACATTCATTTTAACAGTATAGATTGCACACATAAACATAAATAACAACGATGGAACATTCATCAAAAACATGGCTATGCAAATGAATACATACCACGACAATCCAGGCACCTCTGAATCTTAGTCTTTCTTCTGAACCACAGCTCTTCTGAATCTCAGAAGCACAAGAACCCCTGTCCGCTGAACCGCACCTTCAAAATATGCAACGACAAAGAACAAAAGCATAGTTCAGATCAATCAGCGGGAAATGTACAGTGTAAAAAAGAGCAAACAGAATGGGAGCGACGGCAGGGCGCGCGTACGGCGGTGCTGGCCACCCCAGGATCGAGATCCGGCGCCGCACAGTAAAAACGGCGACGTGGCCGAGGTGGGAGCCTGTCGAGGCCGCCAGCTCTCTTACCAGTAGATGCTTGAATGTAGCAATCCTGCAGGGAGGTAGCCAACTGCAGGTGGAAGGTTGTAGCCCCTCGTGCCACAGTCAAATCACCGCCACCACCCATGCCAGCTTTATTACTGGACGCTCATGCTAGGTGCATCGCCGTCTTCAGGTTCCTGATATATAATTGGCAGAAATATGAATTCAATTTTTTTTTCATATCAAAAGGAAAAAGAATATGAACTCAGCCATCCACACTTGCATCTGTGCTGCTGTCCATACATTGTTCTTGTAGGGACATCCTCACATCCATACAAAGAATTTATTCCTTGGCATCGCTGATGGCTTCCAGATGTGTGTAGCTATTGCTGAACTTACCGCCCCCCCCTGAAATTCAGCAAATATGAAGAGTGTGTGGAGTACTCACCATTTTCATTTGCAGTCCACACACTGTGGTCAGGATGGTCAGATGTAGGTTCCACATTAAAATCTTGCTGCAGGACGAAGAGCTTGACAAATTCCTCAAATAAAGGAAAAGTGAGGACATGGTCCAAATCTGGAAATCCATCTATCATTTATGTGAGCCTCAGCCATTGTATTCTTTCTTCTGCCGTGCGCAAACATGGATGGGAAGAGTGCTGACAGTGTGTCTTCTCGAACCCAACTTGATGTCCAGAAACATGCTGTGGCCTATGAGGCTGCTGTTCAGTTTGACAACCATAGCTGCATTGAAGAGAGCAATATTAGTAATGCTCTAAAGGAAGGGGCATGCCAATCCAAGGGTGGTCTAGTGCAACCCATTCAAACCACAGCCACCATAAGCGTTGAGCTCACGCGTAGCATTCAAGGTCCAGTATGCCAAGGCCGCCCATTTCTAATAGCTGACACATTGTTGTCCAAGGCACCTTGTATTTACCCGTGGAGAGTTCCTGATCCCCCACCCAAAGGAAACATCTTGGTAGCTTATCCCATTCTTTGAAAAATCATTTTATCTGGTTGAGGACATGACCAGATAGGTTGGTTGGGAGCTTAAAATCGATCTGAGAACCCCCTTTTTTCTTACTAAGAAGACGATCCTTTCTGTCAACCAACTTGCTTTTGGCCCTTGTCAACACCTACTTCTGAAGTCATCTGACTTTCTACTTCTATCCACAGGCTTCAGAGCAGTAATTCATCAAGCCATCATCAATTTCATCTATACTCGTTCTGACCATCTCCATCTGAATTATTCTCAAAGTGTTGTGTATCTCATTCCTGCATGGATGTCGATTATCTCGTGCCAGAAACACATTCATTTTCCTTCCTATCTCAATCCAACTACACCCTGGCTGCTTACTGACACCCCTGTCCTTCATGGATCTCCTCACTCTAAAAACTTCTGCCCATTTCCCCATCTCAGCGTACATATTCGAGAGAAGGACATAGGGTCCAGAGTTCTGAGGATCAAGCTCAAACAATCTCCCAGCTGTCCATTCCCCCAACTCAACATTCTTATGCAGCCTGCAAGCACCTAGCAGAGAAGCCCAGAGCACAGAGTCAGGTTCCATTGGCATGTCCTTTATGAGCTCCTCAGCTTCTTTGAGATGACCAGCACGACCAAGCAAGTCAACCATGCATGTGTAATGATCTCGAGATGGCGTAATCCCATGATCCTCAGTCATGGAATGGAAGTATCTCTGGCCCTCATCCACCAATCCAGAATGACCACAGGCTGACAAGACCCCTATCATAGTGACAGAGTCCGGGTTCTCATTGCTGCACAGCATTCTCTCAAAAAGATGCAATGCATCTTTTGCACGGCCATTCTGTGCATAACCAACAATCATCGCATTCCACGACACATTATCTCTGGCTGCCATTCTCTCAAATACCTTAGCACCATCATCGATGGAACCTGTTTTCAGGTACATGTCTACAAGGGAGTTCCCAACAAACACATCAGATTCTGGCCCAAAGTCAAAGCGAAAACCTTCCTTGAGGACATGCACATGAGCTTGCTGACCAAGCTGAAGGTCAGCAATATTCCCACATGCATTCAGAACATTTCCATACGTGTAATGTGTCGGCCAAATGGAGTCTCTTTTCAGCTGGACAAAGAGCCTAATCGCTTCTTCCTCCTCACCATTCTGAGCATATGCTGCAATGAGCACATTCCAAGCAATGACATTCTTCTCGACCATCTGCAAGAACACCACCTGAGCATCTTCCACATTTGCAGACTTTGCATACCCAGTGAGTATAGATATTTCCGAGACAATACTCCTGGAAGGCATGGAATCAAAGATACACCTTGCTTCCCACGTCCTCCCACACTTCGCATACATGTCCACCAGAGCATTGTTGAGCACCATGTCATCCCTAAGTCTGTCGCACTTCACCATATGGGCATGGACCTGCCGTCCTTCCCTGTCCGCAGCAAGTCCTGCACATGCGCTCATGACACTTGAGAGTGTCACCTCATCCGGAAAGAAACCAGCGGCCATCATCTCGACGAACAGCACGAGCGCCTCACCCACGGGACCGTTCTGCTCGAAGCAAGTGATCAAGCTGTTCCACGAAACGACGTTCCGCTCCGGCATTGCGTCGAACACCCTGCGCGCATCCTCCGGGCGCTCGCACTTGGCGTACATGTCCACGAGCGCGCTCCCGATGTGCACGTCGCCCGCGTGCGGCGACCTGGCGACGAGGCCGTGCACCTGCTCCCCGGTCCTCGAGTCCCTCTCAGCGGCGCACGCGCTCAGGGCGCTGGCGAAGGAGTAGGCATTGAGCACGAAGTCGTCGGCGTGCATGGCGGCCAGGAGCCGGAGCGCGTCCCCGGCGTGCCCGCGCCCGTGCCGCGCGAGCGCCGCGACGACCGTGTTGTAGGAGCACTGGTCGGGATCCGGGATGGCCTCGAAGAGAGCCCGCGCCTCGTCGGGGCGGCCCAGGCGCGCGTACGCGGAGAGGAGCGCGTTGTACGAGAAGGTGTTGCGGATGGGTATCTCGTCGAACACCCTGCGGGCGTCGCGGAGTCGGCCGAGCCGCGCGTAAGTGGACACGAGCGTGTTGAGGAGGAAGGTCTCGCCGGCTACGGGAGACTTCAGAACGCGCGCGTGCGCGGCTCGGGCGCCGGGGAGGTTCGGCGCGGAGCGGAGGAGGTCGGCCAGCGGCGACGACGCGCGGAGGTGCGCGAGGAGTTCTTGGCCATGGTGGTGGTGGAGGTGCCGCGCCATGCCACCGAGAGGCACGCCGTCAGCTCGCATTCGCAAGGGCCACTCTTTACACTTACGGAATTCCTGGCGTAATTAACGGCCAGGGTCAGTTGGCTTGCGATCTAGAGAGAAACAGGGCTGTAGGAGAACATTCTGCGTTATCGGACGATGAGGGACGAATATGTGCGAGTCGGAGTCTATGCATGGCAACGGGATGTAGCCGATCGGGCATGACCAGAACGTTCTCTTTTCCGCTACGAAGAATTCATTCTGTCCCGTCTCTCTTAACTGTCTCGGGTATAGATTCTTGCTCATCTCCGTACCGTCGGGCATCGATCGGGTAACAGATACCCGACGGGTACTGCATACCCGATAAACAAGGACACTTGGGGTCACAGCTTTGCAATCGGATATGTTTCTTCTTCACCCGGGTATAAGTGTCGGAGTCTCAGAGATACCGAGGAAAAGGAGCGAGGTTGCGAGGAGGACGAGCAAAGGTGGTAGAGAGACCGAACTGAGGAAGCGAGGGGCACGAGCGCTCGTGAGGCAGGCGTGCTTGTGCTGCTGGCGGAGACGGTGAGGAAAAATTGAACTAGGGTTCATAGAACACACAAACTATATATATGATTGTTCAGATTTGGACCATAATACCTATGTTGAGCTTCTCTAGGCCTAATACTCGCATGACAGCTCAAATAGTCGGGTTCCCCAACGGGTAACGGGGACGGGTAAACATGGAACATTCCCGTACCCACTATACCCGTCGGGGATGGATTCTTGCCCATTTAGATGCCCGCGGATAAAGATATGATCCCATCCCCGTTCCCTAATGGATCAAATACCCATCGAGTATCGGGTATCGGGGCCCGCTGCCATCTTTATCCGAGTCACATCTTGCGTGGACACAAATAATATTCTTCAGAGACGTTAAAATTAACATTCAAATTAGTGTTCAGTTTCAAAATGCGTTTGTAAAAGCATCACAGTTTCACACTTGCGGATGCATGTTTGAAGGATTGAATTGAGAATGCTCCTTGCCATCAACCACCCTATCATCAATTTCATCAGTCCCCTGAATTTCGTCATTTTCATCATCCATGTCCATGTGACCATGTCAATACAACTGCATTGCAGCATCGGGGGCTCGGGGCTTCAGCTAATGCTGCATAGCATATTACAATCCTGTCCACTTCATACATAGATTAAGCGTCCGGACAGCAGTTAATCTTTGTTTTAAGCATTTATAGTTAACATGCAGGGCACCAGATGCAACTACAAATGCCTCAGCATCTTCAGCATCTTCTTATCTTAACTCAAGGCATGCCATTTGCTCTCCGAGAGTTCTCATTGTAGAGCAAGCTTCAACTCAATGGTTTTTTTAAACACAAATAGCAGGAGCTCTGTCTTTCAATTAAGGTAGGAAAAAAGATACAAACAATCCAAAAATAAGGGAGAGACAATGGCTAGCTTCTACATCACATCACTAATAAAACAGGTAAAGCCCCAAAGGCTGAGAAACCTCCCCTGAACACAAGGAGACACTGAGCCAAAGAAACAAACACTACGGCATATTGTTAAAAGCTCTTTTATGCTGAGAAATGTCTTCCTTCACTTTTAGAGCAACCTGTTGCGCCGTTGGGAACACGCTGTCAAAGATGTGCTGCGCTGGTTACATTTTTTCCAAATGTTCCACGTGATATACCATTGAAACTGCGCCTCTTGTCCTTTGGGATCTTGTGGGCTGTTTCCCCCCACCATGTGCTAATCGTTGTGCTCACATCCGAAAGCGCAGGCAGGTTCACGCTGAAATGCTCCCAGGTCAGAACATGGTTCCAGACCACCTGTGCAAAGGGGCACTGCAAGCAAAGGTGTCTTCCACTCTCAGGGGCTCATTACACAGCACACATGCATCATGGTGAGGCCAACCCCGTAGCGCCAAATTCTCTGCGGTTAGGGTTTTACCTTGCACCAAAATCCAGGTGAAGAGCTTGCATTTGTTTTTCACATGTGCTTTCCAAATTAAGTTTGGTTTGGGCCTAGTGTAGGAGCCCTTGAATTGCGTCCTCTATGCCGACCATGTGGAATACTGGCCTTCAGACATCCATCTCCAGATGATGGAATCTCACACTCCAGGCTGTAGATGCACGTACTTTACTCGATCGATGGCGATAGTCGTACTTTACTCGAGATACAGATGAACTGCTGAAAGTGAAGTCTGCAATTGGGAAATCCAGTGCTATATGGTCATACACTTCTTAACTACATTCTGACCCAATGCAAACCCCCAAGGCAGGAGAGGAGGTTGAGCCCTTGATAGACATCAATTATCAGGTCAGTCAGCGCATGAGCTCAGCATCCAGCCTGAATTGTCTTGGAAGGATATTAAGTGCTGCTGATCCTACCAGTTTATAGAACACTAAAAGGTCAAATTCAAGTTTGTGACATCTCAACCATCACCAGTTTTTTCCGCCTCAGCAGAATGACATGGGCTCCGCATCATCACTGCCACTGCATTCGTAGTCAGGAGTGGACTCAACAAATACAACTGGAGTCAGGGGTTTGCTGTCATTGATACGCTGCGCAGCCCTCTCCCCTAATTTGCTGTTCCCATATTCCCTGCAGCAGTCAAAGATCCTGAGCCACATCGCGGTTGTTGGCTCAAAGGGCATGTGGTCCATGAAATCCTCTAGCTCAACCATGTATCCATGCTTGCCCAACAGCTCGATCATGCATTCATAGTGTTCGATGCGTGGGACGATGCTATACTCATCAGTCATCAGAGTGAAATAACTCCTCCCCAACCCAACATGCCCTTCAGAGATACATGAAACCAGAGCACCAAGGAAAGTGACAGAGTCTGGCCTAATCCCCTGCTTCCGCATTTCATCGAACAATTCAAGCCCATAGTCACCTTTGCTATTGTAAGCACATGCAAAGATCATAGAATTCCACAGGATGACATCATTAGATAATCCCAACTCAAAGATCCTGGAGGAATAATCAAACAGCCTACACTTGGAATACATATCAACCAGTGCACTTTGCAGTATGTCATCAATATCATACCCGTTTCTGATCATGTATGCATGAATCTGCTTCCCATGATTAAGCAGAAATATATTTGCACAGGCTGCAAGGGCAGAGCTGAACGTGGACTGGCTAGGTTTTGCCTCAGATTGCATCTCACGTAGAGCATGCAGAGCTGCTTCACTCATGGAGTGGCGTTCGTAACCTGAGATGAGTGAGTTCCAGGAGAATCTATCTCTCTCTGATCCCATCTCAAAAAGAAGAAGCCGTTCTGCATTCCTCAGGCATCCACATTTGGAATATAACCTCACAAGTGCATTCATCAAAAAGGGGTAACTGAACAAACCAAACTTGAGAGCAAGTGCATGGAGCTCCTCACCTTTCCCAAGGTCAAGCAGCCCTGTACAGGCATTGAGCACAGAACCAAGTGTAACGACATCAAGCTCCTTTGTCTCATGCCTCATCTGCTGGAACAAATCTAAAGCACCAGTCAGATCCATGGACTTGACATAACCGGTCAACATAGCATTCCAGGATACCAAATTGTGCTGTTCCATGCCATCAAACACCCTTTTTGCATCAGCAAACCTCCCACAAGCAGCCAATCCTGACACAACTGAAGTGGACATCACCACGTCCTTCTTTGGTGCCAAGTTGAAGAGCCTTTGCGCTGCATCAATGTCACCACACTTTGCATACATATCTACAACTGAGCTCCGCACGTGTACGTGGTGTTCATACCCATGGCGGAGCACAAAAGTATGTATACACCTCCCTTCTTTAAGTGCACCGTTATCCCGGCAAGCAAGCATTGCGTGTGTGACAGTATATACCAGTGGCCTAACACCAGCCCATACCATCCTGAAGAACATATGAACTGCCATGTCGCCCATACCAGCGAGAAGATATCTCCGGATGATTACATTCCATGAAATGTCATTGGGTTGCAGGATGCCATCAAATACCCGCCTTGCATCTGTAAGCACGAGGCACTTCCCGTACACGTCAACCAGTGCCGTGCCTAGAATCACATTGGACTGGAAGTCCCTCTTTGCCATATGACCATGAAGCTGCTGTGCACCACGCAGGTCAAGGCACTCAGCACAGCAGGCAAGCACTGATGCCAGTGTGACGTCCTTGGGGCGAATGCCAAGAGAGTTCATGTCAGCGAAGAGGGAGAGCGCCTCTGCAGGGTGCCCAGCGCGGGACGAGGCGGAGATGATGGCGTTCCAGGAACCGCCGTCCCGGCGTGGCATTGCGTCGAACATCTCCCGCGCGTCGGCGAGACTGCCGCAGGCAGCAAGGGACTCGATGGCGCGGTTGAAGAGGAATGTTGGAGTGGACGAGATCGAGGTGGAAGGGGAAGAAGACGAAGAGGAGGCGAGGTGGGAGGCGACGCGGCGGGCGGCGGCGAGGGAGCGGCGGGAGGTTGCCAAGCGGAGGAGCGAGGCGTAAAGAGAGGGCGGGAGCAGGGAGGAGGCAGAGCACGCGGGGAGGGCGTCGATGGCGGCGAAAAGGTGCCCGGCGGCAACGTGGTTGGAGATCGCGGACACCGTTGAGGCGACGGCGGACGCGGCCGCCATGTTGGCGGGAACGGGAAGGCAAAGGATGGGTCTACGCGTAATGGGTGCTGCGCTATCTTGTGGTTGTGGGCCTAAATTGAGGGCTTTTTTTTGCGATTATTTTCCTCTAAGAAAAGCTTATTGTAGTTTTCTCTTTTATTGTACTAAAGATGCGGTTAGTTCATATAAATGTAGATGTTTTTATCGGGTACAACTTGTACACACATAACACACATTCCACATTCACACTACACGTGCGTTTGTACACACGTAAAGAATAGATTGGGAGGCTTTCTGGCCTCCAGTGGTGGGAAACGCGTATTACCACCGAACGCGCACGCATGCGTGTACTATAAATTTTCTGAAAAATCTAGAAAAAAAGGTGCGACAACCAGGGTTTGAACCCTGGTGGATAGGTCCCACTGGACAGCTCTGCCATTGGATCACAGGCCCATTCACATGTAAATGTAGACTTGATTACATCGGGAAACAACCTGTTGTAATCGGTCTCACCTTTAATCAACACTGCATGTACAAGCCCAATACTGTCCCGACCCTAGAGTAATAATGAGAATCTATATATCTATCTATCTAGGGGCCTGCTAGCGACCAGATCTCCGGACGTCCGCCCCTACAGCCATTTTCTGCGTTGTTTTTTGCGCGGTTTCACGCGCCTACATGGGTCTGTGCGCCCCCGAACGTCACCAGCATCGAAAAGAGAGGGAGGGGGCGGCGTATGCCAGCCGACGCCGGGGGAGGAGGAGACACCGAGGCGAGGCAGCAGAAAAAGCAAGGATAAAAATGCAACACCCGATCTACTTTTGAAACATTTAGATGTAACATTTGCAACATATGTCTGAAGGTAGATAAAACATTTTGAAACATGCATCTGAAACACTTACAAAAACCACATGAAAAACATAGTAAAACATACACAACATCCAAATAAAACAATTGTAACATATAAGTGAAACATATGCAACATCCAAATAAACACACTTGCAACATATGTTTGGAAAAATAGATGAAACATTAGGAACAGAAGCTTGCAACATACGTGTACAACCATTGCAACATATGCAACATCCCGATCCACTTTGAAACATCCGTATGAAACACTTGGAACATACCTCTGAAACATCTGAAACACTTGAAACATATATTTGCAACATGCACTTTCAACACAACATCTCCTTACTGCTTGGGAGAATGGTGGCTCGTTGGCGTGTGATCACCGGAGGTAGCCCGGGGCGATGCTACTACACTCAGACCTTTCACAGCCACGTCGTAACCCCCATCACAGCTGTATTTCGACCTCGGCAGTAAGCTATCGGGAGTGATGGTCATAGCCCTCACTGTCGGCATCAGTCGTATTGGCTTATGATCCGTCCGTGATAAGGTCCTTACTTCCATCGCATTGAAGCACGACCCGTCTGTGGGTATACACTAACACTGCCGCATTGGCAAACGATCCGCCTGTGTAGAGGCTATCATCACCGTCGTGTGGGCACATCAACCGCCTGTGTAGTGGTCACCAACACCATTGCCTTCCCACGCTTCGACCGACTATCTCGGTGCGACGGGCTTCTTTGTCACTTCGACGGCCGAGACATCGCAGCGCGTGAGAGGTAAACATCGTCGTCAACGGCCTCGCGTATAAACCATCGATTACAAAGGTCATGGTCACCGTCGCCTTGCACCACGATCCGCCTTTGATGATCGTTTAGTCGGTGTCGGGTTACTAAACGATTCGGTAGTAATACACTTTTACCCCCATCGGAAAATACAATTATAGCGGCGGTGTTAGCGATGCGTTGCACCACCACGGCGGTGGTGATAACAAAACAATAAGCGACCTTAATAGCTTCATCAAACACAAAACATCAACAGATATAATCATTGCATCCATAAACCATGTTTTACAATAACAAGCTTATCGCGCTTATCATAATATCTTTCTCAACACGCGATGTCCTAACACGGTGGTGGAAAGCGGTACATAGATTGTAAACTAGAAAAAGGTATTGATCTCTCTGAGACTTACATAACGAAATTCACATGTAAGCGTAGACTTGATTACATGTGCTCCTCCTATATGGCATTCCTGCTTGCTAGGAAAAAATAAATATAATTAGTGCATCCTTCGAATTGGTAGGCAATGCATCATGGAACCCCTCTTCTTCCTCCTAGTCAATGCAGGAAAATTGTTCAAAAGTACTCAGACTCCACCTGCACAAAGCAACAAAATTAATATTATTCAACACAACATTTCTTTAGTTACGAAGCCCAAATTGACCTATATATAAAATCAAAACAACTACCTACCTAAACAAAGGCATGTCATAATTACAACAACATATGCACCTTTACTTTTCTGCTAATGACTCAATGAACAAGGTAATATAAGGAAAATAGTGAGGTCTACCGCTCATACATAATAGTTTCTAGGTACTTCTAGGATAGCCGATGGCCCGGGCAGGGAGAACATGAACTTTACTGTGGTTCATGTCATATGCAAGTAGTGTTTTGTGTCCTCCCCAATAAGGCAAATCAAATTCTATTCTGGATGAACTGTAATCACTCTGTAGGCCGCATCACAAACATCGGTACCAATTTTAGTATTTTTCTTTCCAAATAGCTCCAGCGTGGTTACTTTATGCTTCAATATCCATTTACTAGTATCATAATCTTTAAAGGATCCAGATTGAAAGCTCATACCTATTCAAAGTATCAGCAATACATAAACATAACTGTTCAAAAGTACTAGTCAATGCAGACTCCACTCGGACTCCACTTGCACAAAGCAACAAAATTAATATTATTCAACACCCCTACGAGCTACATGAATGGATATTGCATCTTTTCTCGCTAATGGCCTATGAATTTTCCTCCATATCTGGATCCGGGTCGGAGGAGCGAGGAGGTGTGTGTGTGGGGGGGGGGCTGCGCTGGTGGTGGGCGGGGCTGTTTCCAAATGGCGGCGATGGTTACCTTATGCTTCAATATGCATTTACTAGTATCATAATCTTCGGGCGCGTGAAAGGTGCGATGCGTTGGGGGAAGGAAGAGGGCCGCGAGATAGGAAGACCGATTTTTTTAGAAGCTCCTGAGCGAATAGGAAGGGGTAGTTGGGTCAACATCGTGGCCCATCAACAGAGCATCCGGGCGGACGGACACCCGGTTTATAGAATTACTAAGGTGCGGTTGGTTCATGTAAATGTAGCGTGACTTGATTACATCAGGAAACATCCTATAACTCTCGCAAAAGAAATAAACAAATCCTATAACCGACTGTCTAGTTTTGCACTGTTGTAATCGGTCTCACCTTTAATCAACATCGACATGTACAAGACCAATAGTGTCCCAATCCCAGTGTAATCATGAGAATATATATCCATATATATAACCTATATAGATGGAACTCACTAAGGATCATTGATGACTAATTCTCTGCTCTCACATTAAACCACGTCATCAGTTTGTTTTAGCCATCCGTTCTTGAGTAGATCTCCATCTTGACCATTTGTTATCCGCGCAATAATCCTATATGCGTAGTATTCTCTTTACTCTTTAGCTTCCAGGCTCCTAGCAACTGACAGTTCACAGTAGTGCTGCAAAAATATTGGTCACCGCCGAGCAATCAAGATCCTTTTTTTTAATGCCACCATTGTCCTCCTTCCCACTCCACCTGTTCATATTCTAGGTATACGGGAGCTGCCACTTTATATTCACCTCTCCAATCCTCAAGCCCTCATCTATGGAAGTTTCTCCACGCCACCTCCATTGTTAACCAGTGTAGCAGAATCACTTTTTGATAAGTTGATTCCATTGAGGACTCAATCTGGGTCCTCCACTGCCCTTCAGAATCAACCCCACACCCAGTCCAAGGCTCCAAGCACGATCGTTGCCACCATTAAATCTCAGCTTTGCCGGCTTCTACCATGGTGTCCCCCCGACATCTTATTATGCCATGGCCCATGGCTAGCTTTTGCACCAACATCCATCAGCTCTTTTTTAACCCTACAAATCGCGTAGGGTTCTTGACAGGAACCGCTGTTCACGTCACCCGAATTGTTTCCAGCAGTCCGATCCTCCATCGTGGCCCAGATTGCTTGTAGCCGCTTGAAAGGTCCTAATATGGTTAGAGGGGGGGTGAATAGCCTATTTAAAACTACAAATCAACTAGAGCAATTTGATTAGTAAGACAAATAGCGAAATGCAAACTTGCTCTAACTCTACAAGGGTTGCAAGCCACCTATCCAACAATTTTAGTTGCAATGATCTATTGGCACACAATCTACTTGACCACTACTCACTAAGAGCTCTCACAAATGCTACACTAAAGAGCTCCACTAGATATGTTTAAAGCACAAGGCAAGCTCTCAAATCTAATTACACTAAAGAGCTTGCTATATCTAGTTTGCGGAAATGTAAATGAGTAAGTGAGACGATTATACCGCCGTGTCGTGGAGTGAACCAATTACACGATGAATATATATAGCCAATCACCGGGAGAATGCAAATGACAAGAGACAACCGATTTTTCTCCCGAGGTTCACGTGCTTGCCAACACGCTAGTCCCCATTGTGTCGACCAACACTTGGTGGTTCGGCGGCTAAGAGGTGTTTCACAAACCTCGTCCACACGATAGGACACCGCAAGAACCGACCCACAAGTGAGGTAACTCAATGACACACGAGCAATTTACTAGAGTTACCTTTCGGCACTCCGGGAAGATACAACTCCCTCACAATCACCGAAGGCGGCCACGAACAATCACCAACTCGTGCCGATCCTTCACCGCTGCTCCAACCGTCTCAGGTGGTGGCAACCACCAAGAGAAACAAGCGAAATCCATGAATAAGAACACACGAATACCAAGTGCCACTAGATGCAATCACTCAAGCAATGCACTTGGATTCTCTCCCAATCTCACAATGATGATGGATCAATGATGGAGATGAGTGGGAGGACTTTAGCTAAGCTCACAAGGTTGCTATGTCAATGAAAATGTGCAAGAG